GTGAGCGTCCAATGACCCTGCTTGCTCCTCCTTTAATGAAGGAGCACAACTGACAACAAGTCCAATTGTGACAATGTTTAGCCATCAGGCACCGCTGAAGTTGTGTTGATGGTAGTTATTTCATGCAGAAGAGACTGCTGTACAGTATCGTCTTATTAAAAGGACATAGAATTTAAAGGGATTTGGTGCTAGGATCCACAAATGAGGAAGAACATATGTCTTTTATTTTTCTGAGTCCTTGTGACTTTGCTTAGTATAACAGTTTCTAGATCCATCCATTTACCTGCAAATTTCATTATTTCATCTTTCTTTACTGCTGAATAGAACTCCATTGTATAAATATGCCACATTTTTGTTAACCACTCATCAGTTGAGGGGCTCTTAAGTTGCTTCCATCTCTTACATGTGGGGACCTAAATGCCCCACCTTGCATAGGTCCAAAAGGAAGTTACTGGGGGTGCGGCCTGGCTTGCTTTGAAAGTCTCAAGAATACTTCTGCACTGCTGAGGAGTGCATGATCAGCGCGTGACCATCCTTAAGATACACCCAGGGGGCGGGGGGGGCGGAGTTCCAGGTGCCTTTATAAGCTTTGTAACACTTGCAATAAATGAGTTCCAGCTTGATTAGGCTCCCCATTGCGTCTGAGTGTCCCCGGATAATGGGGGCGGCGTGGGCTGGCGAACGGCGTGCTTACTCATCCCCAATCCTCACCTTGCGGGGGTCATGGGTTCGAACCCCCGGCACTCAATGTCCCCACAGCCCCAACCCAGAAGGCTGTAACACAGTACACATCACTTACTTTTTCCTTCCCAACTGCCAGACCAATGAGGCTGATGCATTCAATAGTTTTCCCTCTCAGCAGTCTCAACTCCTTCTGGACGGCATTCTCAACAATGTGCTTCAGTGACGGCATGAATAAGTCATAGTAGGGGACAAACTTTTCTTCTGCAGTATCTGCAACTGATGCAATGGATGTCACAACTTGTTCCAAAACTAACTTGGTGCCTTTCTGAATCAGCTAAAAGGAAAACACAAAAGAAATCATTTCTGTGAATAACTACAATTTCTCAGTTCCCCACTCCCTTCCAGTTAGTTCTTGAGTGCTTTTCTGAAAAAGCAAGTTGAGATTGCCTCTCCCTCCGTCAGAGGCAGAGGTTAAAGATTTGGGGAAGAAATTTCTATAAAATCAGTCCATGCTGAACTGTTACTCAATTTTGCCTTATGTCAGAGCAAAGCTGGTTGTAAACTACAAATCTTGACTAGCCTTTAATCTTTTGTTTTTTTCAGACAACTCACTATATAACCCTGGCTGGTCTGGAACACACTATGTAGACCAGACTGGCCAGGAAATAGATCCACCACCTCTGCCTCCCAACTGCTGGCATGCACCACCACTCTAGGCCCCATCTTTCATTTTTTGTGTCTATATAAAGCTTAATGTCTTAGCTTTCTCTCCTTATTCAATTGCTTAATATTCTACTTGGCACTGTCCTGTTATATGACTGAGAAAATCCTTTTGTGACCCATATTTTTGCTTCTTTTTTGAGACACATCTCAGGTAACCTAGGCTGGATTCCAAACTGAGGAACTTTGAACTATAAATCCTCCTGCCTCTATCTTGTGTTAGGATTATGGTGGGAGTCATCATGCCCAGATTGTTTCTTTATGTTCAAATCCAACAATCCCTAGAAAATCCCACTAAGGAACTCTGCTTCCTTCTCCTACAACCTGCTTTTCTCTCTTGGAGAAGCAGCTGGTGTCTTTTCCTGCACCAGAAACCAAGAGTGATGAATGGGTCTTGAGTTTCTGCAGCAGGGTCCATGCTGTCACCTGGCAGTATTCTACACTATTCTGAGATCAAGTAATTTCTTAAAGAGTTCCTTCATTTCCCATATCAATGGCAACCAAGTTCTCCACAGAGTGCTTTGCCTTGTTAGCAATCTACTGACTTTAGTGACTCCCTTCTCCAACTAACTCCCTAATCTGTCATTTAATATCTTGAAGACTTCAGAGAAGTCTTTCCTCTTTACTATGCTAGCTGTTTATCTCTGAACATTATCCTCCTCTTAGTGATCTCAATGAACTCCTCCCTTCTTTAAAAATGTGACACATGGGCCCTCTGGGGGAATGACAAGTAAATTCAGATTCTCTTCACATTACAGAGAAACCCACTTGCAAAGGCATGTTGGATCTGTTTATTCCTGATATTTCAGCTTGTTTACCTTCAACACAGACCTACCTTTCGAGTGTTAAATTTTTCTGTCATCATATTCTTTTTAAAATTTTATTTATTTTTATTTTATGTGTGTGCACGTATTGCCTGCATGTAGGTAAGTACACCCGTGTCATGCAATGCTCATGGAGGTCAGAAGAGGCTGTCAGATCCCCTGGAACTAGAGTTACAGACAGTTGTTAGCTGCCATGTGGGTGCTGGGATTCGAACCCAGGTCTTCTGCAAGAACAGCCAGTGTTCTTAACCACTGAGTCATCTCTCCAGCCCCCATATTTTTTTTTAAATTTTATTTAATATTTTTATGAGTGTATTGCTTGCATAAGTGCACCCTTGTGCAATGCCTGCAGAGGTCAGAGGAGGGTATCAGATTTCCTGGAACTGGGGTTACAGATGGTTGTTAGCCACCATATAGGTGCTGGGAATTGAACCTGGGTCCTCTGCAAGAGGCTAGTGCTCTTAACTGCTGAGCCATCTCTCCAGCCTCTCTGTCATCACATTCTATCTGCTATCATCTGGCAATGAATGCTTGGGTCTTTAAAACTTCTCCTGCTGTGTTTTTTTATGCATTCACTTATTTTCCTTCTTGCTCAGACTGGTGATCATGCTACACACACTGTGGTTTGTGAAATGTTTGCTATTGGTGGTCTATACTAAGTACAGGAATTGAGTAGAGTCAAACTGTTATGGGGATGTGACAGTGAGTTCATGTCTGTTTACTCCAATAGAGAAAAGGAGACTTCTACTTTCTATGTGTTTAGTATTCACTTCTTTTTTGAGACATGGTAAAGGGTGGCCTTGAACTTGGGATCTTCTTGCTTCAGTCTCCTTCAGTGCTGGCATTACAAGCCTGTGCCACCATGTCTAGCTCATTAGCATTCACCTCATTTTCCTAACAGCAACCCATTTCACGGTATGTGACATCAACTGACCTCAACCATTGTTCTCATAAGATGACAATACAGTTAGTTAGCACACCTTGTACTGCGTGTATCAACTGTTCTCAGGCTGGACCCCTTTCTTAAGCTGAGACTGTAAGCCATCAACTATATTTGTCTACATATACTCCAGCAATGCCAGCAATTGGGAGGCAAATGCAGGAGGATCAGGAAGATCAGAGTTCAAGGTCATCCGTCGTTTACTACAAAGCAAGCTTGAGGCCAGCGTGGACTATATAAGACTCTGACTCAAAAACAAATCACATATAAAGAAAAATGGGCATTGTTTTCTGTAGATACTTGATTTCTGTCACTCTGGTTAAAAGAACAGTCAACATTTTTTACACTATTTTTTGTGATTTTTTTTTTTTTCAAGAGGCAAGGTTTCTCACCACCACATCTGGCTGTTGAAATGTCCTAATTTTTCTCATTAACATCCAATTTAAGTACACTACTTTCCATGCCTCTCAATGCTACTATCACACTCATCTACAACTGCTTCTTTGTCTGCAGCACTTTAGAAAGGAGAATAGCTCTTCCCAGGTCCAAAAGTCCTTTCTTTCCAACATAATCTACACTTGGATTCTACTAACTCTTTAGGCTGTCTCTCCCAATTTTAATACTAGCCTATCTGTGCTTCTGATCAAGTAGAAAATATTATATTGGGATAGCCCGGAATGTACTCCTCATCTCTAGCTTTCTGCCTTAATGGTCTTGCTCAGAGTTCCTGTGTCTCCAGGTCTTACCTACCAATCAATTTTAAATTTATGTGTAACAGGTGTAAAGATCTTGAAACTTACCTCCTGAAGTTTGAGTACCATAATGGAATGCAGATGCTTTACCAGATTATCCAAGTATGGAATAAGCAGTGACTTGGGACAGTCTTCAGTGAAGTTAATGAGAGCAGCCGCTGCGTGGGCCTGCACCCTTTGGTTGCCTTGGTCTTCCATGGTCTGAAGCAAAGCTGCAATCACCTGGGAAATGAAATCAAGTGTTTTGAAATGTGTTCCCTCTTTACAGTCTTGACAGGTATCTGAGGACTTGTTAGGTACCTTCTCATGAAATTTCTTTTGGAAACCTGGTGCAAAATCTGTAGCCATCTGACCCACAGCATTGCAGGCTGCATACCGGACTCTTGGATGCTGTAACACATTCCTTTTGTTAGTAACAGCAATAGGATCCCATGTGAAACTATGGTGATAATGATCAAATATTAATTGCAATTGGTACTTACAGGATCCTGAAGGAAAAGCAAAACAAAATTTACTATCTCATTTAGAATTCCTTCCATCTGCTGGTGGCACCCTTCACCAATGGCAGACAAGGCCATTAATCCTGCATGCCGGTATTTCCAGTCAGCTGTGGAAAAGAATTACATCCGTAGAGTAGTAATTAGACCCTCATTCTCATACTCATTCTGGTAGCCAGAAGCATAAAAATTATTCTTATTTGGAGGAGTATATGTCTATGCCATACCACCCTGAATAAGCCTGGTTAGTATATGGATAGGAGTAACAAAACTTTCCATCCATGTATATAAATCAGAGAGAGATGGGAAAAGTGATGACTGAACTGGCAATTTTTCTTTAATTTTCTTTCTTTGATTTTAAAAGAGATAGAACCTTGCTACTGTGTAGCCTAGGTTGGCCTTAGGCTTGCAATCACCCTACCACACCTTCTCCCTAAGTGCTGGGATAATAGATCTGTGCCACCAGGCCCAGTTTCCTGTTTTATTTTTAGTAGTTAAGTCACAAGGCATTCTCCTGGACTAGGGTTGTAGCTCAGTGGTAGATTGCTTACCCATCACATACAAGGCCCTGGGTTCACTACCAGGATCAATTAAGACACTCCTTTTCAAACCAGGCTTATGGTCCCCCCTCCCCAGCATTAGGGATTGAACCCAGGGTCTTGTACATGCTAAGGGCTATACCAGAGCTAAATCCCTACCCCATTTCTAAATATTTCTGCTTACTATAGTAACAGGCTATCCAGCTTCAAATTCTTTGTAGAAGAAAGTAAGATATACACAAAAGTATAAGGTCAGGTCAAAGTCTTAAGTTTACTAGGTCACAACTATTCTCATAACATCCCTTCATAACATTTCTTCATTCTCCCTTTGACAGACAAAATACCATATTCCACATATGAAATCCCAAGAGATCGAGTATGTAGGACATGAGAACTCACCTAAATTATTTAAGAACATTTATAAAACCTAGTCATTCTTGCTACTATCTGTTTTTTGGGGGAGGGGGGAACAATAGTCACTCATAATGCTATTTCTAGCCAGGTATGGTTGTAATACACCTTTAGTTCTAGCACTCAGGGGACAGAGGCAGGGATCTCTGTGAGTTCCAAGGGCAGCTGGGTCCACATAGTTGAGTTCCAGGCTACCTAGGACCTCACAGTGAGACCCTGTCTCAAAAAGAAGTTATTTCTGTTAATATGTAATGAGTTTGTTATTTTTAAATGAATATTTTAAACAGTTCTGGTTTAATTTTTTGTGTGGCAAGCACTGGTATAACCTTAAAAAAAATTACAAAGTAATCCTAAATTATATGACTCAATTTTTCATGTTGGAAAGTCCCATGCTTACATAAAGTAATTCTATCACAAGGAACTTCTGAAGAAACCTCTAATACTAGTCAAGGTGTAGTGGCACATGTCTGTAATCTCAGTGCTCAGACACAGGGAGGACTGCTACAAGTTTGAGACCAACCAGATCTACACAGTGAGTTCTAAACCAGTGGGGATACATAGTGAGATCTTGTTTCAAGAAAACCAAAAAATTGGGCTAGGGAGATATAACTGAGTTGGCAGGGTGCTTGCCAAACATGTACAAAGCTCTGGTTGGTTCCCCCAGCATCACAGACTGGACAAAGTGGTGCATGTCTATAATCCTATTACTTGGAATCTGGAGGCAGGAGGGTCAGAAATTCTAGGTGATCTTGGCATACAGTTAAAAACAAAACAAAACAAAAAACAAACATAATCCAAAACCAACCAAAGTATATGAATATTTGGAATTAACCTTTGCATACTGGACTACGACATTCACTTATTGATCGAAAGATAATCATATTCAATTCAGAGGGAAAAAATTTCAAATATTCCAATGCTTAGAGTTCCTAGAAGTATGTCCAGCAGAACAGGACGGCAATGACAGGGTGATCTGGAAATGGCTATATTTTGAGTGTTTTATAATTCAACAAAGTTCACAGTTTATTACTTATTGCAAAAATAAAACTGAAATAAAGTAGGTGCCTAAGCTAAAGAATATATCAAGGGACAAAAAGTAGAAAATGCTGCATATGAAAAAGTTACTACTGAAATGACTTCCCAAATGGCATTAATTACTATGTATTTTCAAACAAGTATCATATATTCCTATTAAAATATTTCCACACATAATAAGTGTATCTCAAATCTAGTAGCATCATTTTCTTATTTTCACAGACGAGGAAACAAAGACTAAATCTAATCCCGCATGGTGGTACATGCCTAGGTAGAGGAAGGAGGACTATGACCTTGAGTTCACCCTGGGCTATACCTTGAGTTCTAGTCTATATGACACTGTCACAAGAAATAATACAGAAAGTCAAATATGTAGCAACAACCTTTTTTAGTTTACTGTCCTATGTGTGAATTGTTGTAGTCAAATTCTTAAACTACAAATCACAACCACATTCAGAATAATTCTACTTGAAGGGCCCTGTGAATCAATGAAGAAACAGCAAATTGGCCTTATGTGATCCTTCAGTTTTGTTTTGATATGAGGTTTTACTATGTAGCTCAGGTTGGCCTCAAACTTCCAGTCTTCCTGTTTCAGCATCTCCAATGCTGGGACTGCATGAGTGGGTCACAGTACTTGGCTTCACTTTAGAAGTTCAAAAGTTATAGATTTATTCTTCCTAGTAGCTCTTACGAGGTAAGCAACATGTGATGCAGTGTCTATCTCTGAAGACTCAGAAAGTATAGGGTTGAGGCGGGTGAGATGGCTCAGCAGCTAAGGGTATTTTGGTGCCAAAACTGATAAACCTGAGTTGGATCCCCAGAACCCACATGTCAGAAGAAGCAACTGCTGAAAGTTGTCTGATTTCACACCTGTGTACACCAACAAAATAAAAAAAAGGAGGGGGGGGGGAAGGGCCAGAAGTATTATTCAAGATCCAGACACAGAAAAAATATGCTGCTTTGTCTTCTTGGGATAAAGAAGGATCTTAAAAACATAGACAGCAGATGAACAGCATAAGGGCTAGAATTTTCAAGGGTTTCCACTTGCATTTGAAGTTGTGTTGTATTTTTCCTCACCCAGGGACTGAGTGTGTACTTGATATGTGGAGATCTTAGATTCTACTTGCAAAACCAAAACAGAACAAGGCTCTTGTAGCAATGGCTCAACCCTTGCCTGTTCTGGTGATCTACCCCATATACACACACACACGCACACACACACATATGTGGAGATACTTATATAAGTCAGGATTTCTGTAAAGAGTGTTTTTCTGTTAGCATTATTTATAATCAACAATGAGTGTCAGTATTCAATGAGGATTACCAAATGCCGTGTGGCTACCAAAATTTGGGGCAAGCTGTCATATGGCTATGATAAACAAGCAAAAGCTTAGGGTTGTATGCCTACACGGCATATTCACAAAACTGCACATATAAGGTCTGAGAAAATGCCAGTGAAATTTTAACAGTGGACTCCTCCGACTATGAGAACTTGAATTTTCTTCTTTTTATCAACTTTTTAAACACATATAATATTTGGAATTGATGTAAACTATAGGTACTTAGGCTAATAAATGACCGTATTTGTTAAGAAACATTAATGAAATGATGAAATTTATCTTTTTAAAAAAAATATTTATTTTTATTTTATGTGTATGCACGTATGTCTGCATGTAGGTAAGTGCACTCGTGTCATTCAATGTCCGCAGAGGACAGAAGAGACTGTTGGATCCCCTGGAACTGGAGTAACGGACAGTTGTTAGCTGCCATGTGGGTGCTGGGATTTGAACGCAGGTCTTCTGCAAGAACAGTCAGTGTTCTTAACCACTGCACTATCTCTCCAACCCTGAAATTTCTTATCTTAAAAATCTATCTTTTTTGGTTTTTGAGATAGGGTCTCATGTGGCTCAGGATGGCCTGTACTTCTGATCTCCTATCTCTGCCTCCCAAGTGTTGATATTACAAATATATTACTACCATGCCTGGCTCTTTAAAAAAAAAAAAAAAAAAAATGGATGTAAGAAAATTATGTAGATTGATATTTATCAACCATATTGTATTTCACAAGCATTCTAATAATGGCATTTCATTCAAATTCAAATCTAAATATTCCTGGCTAGGGAATAAAACTGTAAAATTTTCTTAAAAATTTATAAAATTATATGTTGATGCCAATTCTGGAGAGAAAACTGAGAAATATCCTCAGCACTGAGGTAAAATCTTTTCTTTTGAGACAGGATCTTGCTATATAGCCTAATCTAGCCTTGAATTTGAGAGCCTCCTATGAGGCTCCCAAGTGCTGGGATTATAGAGGGGTGTCACCATGTCTGCCTCCAGAAAAGACAAAGGTGGCTAAGTAGAATGTCATCAGTAAAATATAAATAAGAATTAGGATATGTATGCTATAAACAGGGAAATTGATTTTTAAATACTATTTAAGCATTTGTTAGAGCTTCAGATTTAGAAAGTCACATTCACTGTTGTCAATACATGAAGCACAGATAGCTTACGATTTTGAAGCATTTGCATAATGTGTTCCTTAATCATCGGCAACACGAGCTTTCCACCAAGTCCACAAGCCATTCGGTCTAAAGCACTCTCACCAGCAACGGCATTGCTAAACACAATAAAATCATGTATTCAACACACTCAGTATATGCAAAAGTTAGTATACCACATATTTCTAAACATTAAGAATTCAGTCTTTTGTATATGGTATGGTATTGAAGTTGTGAGTTCTAAACACCCTCTGTATGAAAAAAAAAAAAAAAAGGTAAATACAAATTTTGTGGTACTGGGTATAGAAGCCAGGGTCTTGTGCCTGCTAAGTTCTACTGCTGAATTACACTCCCAGCCTGGCAAATAAAAACTTTTATCATAGGCTACCACAGTTTTGAAAATACATTTATGACCCATTTGTTCAGATAAAATCTTACTCAATTCTAGAAAAAGCAGTTTTCTTAAATCATACAAATCTGAATGCTATTCATAGGTCAATTAAAAGACAGGCACCAACATGTTACAGAAACTGAACCAGAGAAAAGAAATATAATCTAAGCTCTGCCTTTGCTTCAGAGCTCAGTTTACTTTCGTATACTCCAAATATTAGTGAAGCCAGAAGCCAGTCACATTTAACAATGGGACCAAACTGAACAGTACATAGTCTTAAGTCAAACATTTTTATTTTTGTTAATCTATTAGCTTATATTGACTACTAGCTTAGTCTTTCAGGGAAATGATTTTTAGGTATTTATTTAATTAATTAATTTTTTTCTTTTAGAGACAGAGTCTCTCTGTAGCCCCAGCTGACCTGGAACTTGCTATGTAAACCAGGCTGGCCTCAATCTCAGAGATCTACCTGCCCCTGCCTTCCAAGAGATGGGGTTAAAGGCCTGTGCAATCATGCTGGCTTCTTTTAATATTTATTTATTTATTTATTTAATTTTTGGTCTTTTGGAGACAGTGTCTCCCTGTAGCCCCAGCTGGCCTTGAACTCACAGAGATCTGCCTGCCTCTGCCTCCTCAAGTGCTGGGATTAAAGGCATGTGTAACCAAGCCCAGTTTTTTATGAGTGTTTTGCCTGCATGTATTTAAGTGTACCTGAGCACGCAATACCTGAAGAGGCCAGAAGAGTGTCAGCAACTCACCCCCACACAAGAAGTTAGGGACAGTTAGCTGCCATGTTGTTTTTTGAGATAAGGTCTCGTTATATATCACTATCTGGGCTGGAACTGTCAGAGATCTACCTTCCCATAAAGGTATTTACCACCACACTGGACCAATTTCAGTTCTTTTTAAGGAAACAGTGGTAATATGATGAGCTGGAAAGACCAAGAAAACAGCTCACCAATTGATTATGTAACTAGGGACAAACCACTCAATTGTCACCTTCTACCTCCTCATTCACAATGAAATCAATTAAAAATAACAGCTCTGAAGGTTCATTTTTCACATATTTGTAAGGAGCCATTATCAGCACTGCTCGGCAAATACAGATTTGCAACAGACTGCCACAGGAATCTGTATTCATGGTGACCTCCAGGTCAGTGGAACTCTGTGTTCACCCAGTGTACAAATCTGGTCACTATGGCATTTCTCTAAATTTAATTTCCTTATAATGGGAAAAAAATGGTGTTTCAAGGGGAATTTTGCCAAAACAACTATTCTAAGTAATGTCTAGTTTTATCACAATAATCCTAGCATTCAATTTACTATCCAAGTAAAGCGTTTTTTATAAACTTTCACTGAACATGGGAATTTTATGAACAAAACTTATTACATGAAAAGTAAAATACTATTTACATGACACAGAAATGCATGTAACAGAAGGACAATGTCCCACATACCAAGCTTAACTTCGGGTTACACACATAACACTGTGAAGAGCTGGGCCTCATGGTGCTAAAGCTCACTCAGGCCCCTCTCTACCACATGATGCTTCTCCAACCCAGTATTAGGTGCGTGATTACCTATCAAAGTCATCATCTTCCAGTTCATCAGCATTTGCCCAGTCCTCATCTTCTTCCAAGTCAACCATCATTGCTAACATCTGAGGAACTAAAGTAAAGAATTATTTCATCCCTGAAGACAGTGGTTTTGTCAACATCGTGATTTTTTTTTAACAAGAATTTTAAGTAAGATTTGCTTTCTCCCTTAAGAGAGCCAGGTATCAAATTTCTAGTCATCCTTCTGTACCCATAGGCTCCACATCCTTGAATTTAAGCAAGCTCAGACTAAAAATACTCAGGGTGGGCTGGTAAGATAACTCAGTGGGCAAAGGTGCTTGTCAGAAAAGCCCGAGGGCCCGAGTTTGATCCATGGAACTTATGTAAAGGTGGAGCAAGAGAACTGACTTCACAAAGTTGTCCTCTGATCTCCACATACTTCCTCGTCCTCCCCAAAACAAACGGGGTGGGGGAGGAGAGATCTGTGTTGAGTATGTACAGGCCCCCTTTCTTGTCATTATTTTCTGGACAGCACAATATAAGAATTATTTAACAGGGCATTTTACTGTACTATGTATTACAAGAAACCTAGGCAATATTTATATAACAGGCTCAAAGAAGATTGTGTAAAAGTACTAAGTTTTCAAAGAGATTCAAGTGCCTATAAATTTTGGTAGTTTGTAAGGGTTCTGTAAATAATTCCCCTTGAATACTGTGGTGGTTTGAATGAGAATGTCCCCCATAGGTTCCAAGTATTTGGACATTTTTGTCTGCAGTTGGCTGCACTGTTTGGGGAGGTCTTAGAAGGTGTGGCTATGCTGGAGGAAGCATGTCACTGGGGGTGGGCTTCGAGAGTTCTTAAGGCTTGCTGGATCTAGAATCGCTCTCGTTTCTTGTGCCTGCTTGAAGACGTGGGAGCTTAGCTTCTGCTCCTCCTCCAGCCACCTCTGCTGCCATGCCTCCCCACCATGATGGATTGACTCTTGCCCTTTTGGAACTGTAAGCTAAATAAACTCTTCTCTAAGTTCCCTTGGTTACAGTGTTTCTATTACAGCAACAGAAAAGTGACTAATACAAATACAAGGGATGACTGCATGTGTTTCCAAAATCTGGTATGTTCAGTTTTAATCTTCTGGCAAATAGTTTCTTTTAGATCTTATTTTTTTGAAGTGACATTAAAGATACAGTCCTCTTTTGACTTCCCAAAATTCATACTACTATGGGAGTTAAAGAGGCCTGTCCTCTCAGCTCTACACCTTCGTTCATCATGTGGTAGTGTCAACCTTTCTGACAACATATACTCCACAATCATACTTGTTTTTATTGAGCCATCAATGCTCATTAGCTAAGTCAGGGTCCTCTCTTATGAATGTCCTGTTTCCCGCTATCAGAATTATATTGACTGTGTATATTGCAATTACCTTTTTTAAAAGCTGTTTTCCCCTTGAGACAGTCTCATGTAGCCCAGGATGGCCCTGAATACACCCAGGTACTTTGTGCCTTTTAATTATCAGATGGTTGATTTGGTTGGTCAAAAAATGATTTTAGTATTTGCAAATACATTAATGTCTATATCTCTAGCTTTTGACTAAGTCTTTAAAAATTCTACTAAACTTTTACTTATAAAATCTATACATATTTGGGCCTTTTTTCAACTCCAAATTATTTTTTAAGCATATCTGGGACTGGGATTTTTTTTTAATAAACAGTTGTTCCAATAACCTCTGATGAATTATCTTCTAGGCCAGCTTTTGTTTCCATGCAAGCCATCTGCTCTGACTCTCTGTATTCTAGCACTCACTGCCTGCACCTGCACCCTCACTGAATTCTGTGCTCTTGGCTGAGAGGGCAGGAATTCCACTTATGTTCATCTAAATCACCCTGGGCTGCTCCAGGATTCATGTTCTTTTTTAAAAAATATTTTATTTATTATTTTTATGTTATGCGTATGAGTGTATTGCCTGCATGCAGGTGAGTACACCCGTGTCGTGCAATGCCGCAGAGGTCAGAAGAGGGGCTTTGGATTCCCCTGGAACTGGAGTTAAGGACGGTTCATAGCCGCCACGTGGGTGCTGGGAATTGAACCTGGGTCCTCTGCAAGAGCAGTCAGTGCTCTTAACCATTGAGCCATCTCTCCAGCCCCAGGACTCATGCTTTTTCACAGGAACTTTAAGATCAATTCTATTATAACCACTGTCCAAGTTTTGACTGAAGTGACACTGGGTTTATAAGATGATTTAAGAGCTGCTGTTTACTAAAAAGTTCTTGTACTTAAGTATACCAAATTCTTTGAAAAGTTCTATTAACTGATCTGCTTTTATTTTTTCCTTTAAAAATTTTGTTTAACAATTTATTTTTATTTTATGTGTGAGTGTTTTGTTGCATGTAAGTGCACCCATAACTACAATGACCATGGAGGCTAGAGGGGGGAGGGGTTCAGATTTCCTGGAACTGGAGTTACAGATGGTTATTAGCTGCTGTGTGGGTATTGAGAACTGAAGCTAGGTCCCTGCAAGGGCTGCCAGCACTGTTAGCCACTAAACCATCTCTCTAGTCCCTTATTTTTTATTTTTAAATAGACAATCACCTAATCTACAAATAAACAGTATTTTTCTTTTTCTCATCCTTTGGTATTTCCCACTGTCACGCTCTGTCTGAAACTGAGAGTAAAGTGATAGCGGGGATCTTTTCCTTGCCCCCTACCTTTAAAGTTCCTAAAATTACTTACTTAGAGCACTTCAAAATGTTGAGTGGTACATTTACTTTCTAAATCTAGTGTTCAACTACCTGTAAGCACATGAAGGAAGGGCTAAAGCAGCCAGAAGAATAAGGCCGGTCCTTAAGCCCCTAGCCTGGAACAATGAAACTCTAAAGTGTGTTTCCATAGCATGGAGGCCCTTCTCTTATAGGGACTATGAACAAATCACCCTCACATGGTGAATAAAGCTCCACCAAAGTGACTGGGTCAGATCCACAATGCAATCCTCTTTACTGGAAAGAACTGCAACTATTTATACGTGGGCAGTGCAAATTGTTCTCGGTGGGGTAAAAAAAAGATACAAAGTTGGATGGGCAGGAGAGGGGTGTGTGAATATGATCAAAATGCATTATATGAAATTCTCAAAAAACAGATGTTACTTTGGCTCTCAGTTTGTATCAGATGTCTATCCTCTCCATTAATTTTTACTCCATTAACTCCACTGGTGATTCAAGAGTCTGTCAATTTTACTTTTAATACCAGGTTTTGGAGATCTTAGGTAGGCCTTAAAAGCAGAGCCATTAATACTGGGCTCATGTACACATATACTCAGCTGTATTTCCTCAGGTTCATCTAATTCTGAATGAATCTGGGAATCTACACAAACCTTAGGAAACATATTCAACAATTCTGTCACATCACAAAACTATCTGAAGCCTTTTGACTTACTAGTCTGTGCAACAATATTGGTATGCTTTCTTAGCATAGCAGCTGCAGTCTCAGAGAGTGTCACAATCACTTCCAGGGCAAGCTGGCGCTGCATATTATTGAGGCTGGTGTCTCCACACAACTACAAAGACATATTTATATACATTTAGGAGTTTAGACTATTACCTGAACATAGCAAACAGAACATTTACTAAGGTATTTTGCTTACCTTTAGACTTAACTGTAGAGTTGCTTCCAAGTGAGGCCGCAAATACTTTGGAACTGTATCTGCAATCTCAACAAGGGACTTTAGGACCGAATCATCATTCTGGTAGCATGAGTCATTCACTGCCTAAAAAAGGGGAAACAAAACAAATGATGTGTGTTCAAGACTCCCCTCTTGATGCCTCATTAGCCAAAGCATTCTAAGCATCAGCCAATGGAGGAAAACAACAGTTTTTCATTCAGTATTTGAGCAAGATAACCAAGTAAATGTAGGTGTTCTACCTGGAGTCACTAGACTCTTCCTTTTTGAAGAATGTGAGACACACACATATGCACATCAAAACCACAAAGAAACAGCATCTTGACCTGGTAAGAATGGCTATTATCGAGAAAGGCAAAAATGAACAGAAACAAAACAGCAGGCAAGGATATGGAAAAGGGAAGCTTTCTCATTCACTGTTGGTGGGAATATAAATTAGTATAGCCACTATGAAAAATGGTATGGAGGTTTCTAAAAAAAACCCCACAACTACCATATGGTCTAGGCGCTCTATTACTGGTGTATATCCAAAGGAATTAAAAATCAGTATGTGGGGGCTGGAGAGAGGGCTTAGCAGTTAAGAACGCTACTGGCTCTTGCAGAGGATCTGGGTTCAATTCCCAGCACCCACATGGCGGCTGCGAACTGTCCTTAACTCCAGTTCCAGGGGAATCTGAAGCCCTCTTCTGAACTCTGTGGCATTGCACAACACGGGTGCACTCACACATGCAGGCAATACACTCATACACATAAAAATAATAAATAAAATATTAAAAAAAAAAAAAAATCAGGCCGGGCGTGGTGGTGCACGCCCGGTCTACATAGTGAGTTCCAGGACAGCTGGGGCTATAGGGAAATACTGTCTCAAAAACCAAAAAACCAAAACAACAACAACAAAAATCAGTATGTGAGTGGGGTAATTCCTATTATATAATCTCAGCACTAGGAATGTAGAAGGATGAAGATCAGGAATTCGGGACACTCAAGGCTGTTCTCTTGCGTATGCATGTGCCCCATACACACAAATGCACCTCTCCCAACAAAATCACTATATGGAAAAGAAACCTGTACTTGCATGCTCATTTCAGTACTCACAAAAGTCAAATATGCAACCAATTTAGGTATCTATTTATGGGTGAAAAAGTGGAATATTATTCAGCCATAAAAAGAACGAAATAGCTGGGCATGGTGCCACATGCCTTTAATCCCAGCACTTGGGAGGCAGAGGCAGGTGGATCTCAATGAGTTCAAGGCCAGCCTGGTCTACACAGTGAGTTCAAGGACAGCTGAGGCTACAGGGAGACCCTGTCTCAAAAAGACCAAAAACAAAACAAAAACCCACGAAATAGCCATCTCAGCAACATGAGTGAAATTAGAATGTAAGTGAAATAAGGCTTGGAGACTCAATGGTTAAAGACTACTTGCTGCTCAGTTATGAGGACCAGAGATAAAATCCCAATACACATTGGGCAGCTCATGAATGCCAATGTCTTCACCTCCAAGGGAGATCTGACATCCTCTTCTGGTCTCTAAGAGGGTGTGCATACACACATACAGATACACAAAATAAATCTTAAGTTGGTCATGGTGGTGTACACCTTTAACTCTGGTACTTGGGAAGCAGAAAAAGAATCATCTCTGAGAGTGAGGCCAGCTTGGTCTACATGGTGAATTCCAGGTCAGGCTAAATAGGTGACCATGCCTTAAAAAACTGAAATAATGCTGGGCATGGTGGTGCACGCCTTTAATCCTAGCGCTTGGGAGACAGAGGCAGGCGGATCTTTGTGAGTTCAAGGCCAGCCTGGTCTACATAGTGAGTTCCAGGACAGCCGGGGCTACAAGGAGACCCTGTCTCAAAAAGACAAAAAAA